CCCATTTTCGGAAATCTCACATAGTACGCCATTCATACACAAAGTTTCGGATTGGTATATAGATTAATTTAGGCTTATTTCAGCTTTAATAAGGATGAGAAGTCTAAGGCTAATCCCAAATAAGAATTGGAGATATAGTTTCCAAAGATGTTATTTAATATTATAGTATTGATTTATATATGTGATTCATGCTGGGTCATGATCCCCTAAAAATGTCTCATGGGCTTGTAGTCTAATCTATAAATGCATGTGGTATTAAAAGTTTTCAAAAATATGTCAGAAAATTATTAATAGATATGCTTGTTATATTTAATCACTTTTTAATAACCAACGGTTTTGGATTCTTACTAATCTACTTACTTTATTTCTTATAGAAAGGTAAAAAGGGATAAAGGTGCCAAAGAGTCTCTTTAAGATAATCTAGGTAGGTACTTTGGTATTGTAAATATTCTTTTTTATTTTAAGTTACTCTATTTTTTTCTACACTAACATTACTTTTCATCCAATCAATTATCTTAGTATATTAGCTAGGAATTATTATGTGTACGTGACTATGTATACAGAGTGATAAAGATATCTTTAATGCAGTACAGTGTTATGAAAGACCCTATATATTTGTAACTAATTTTAAAACATGAAGCTTACAGCTACCTTCTAGTTCCTCAACTAAGACGCTGATTAAAAACAGCAAACTGGCGCCATTTTGTAGAATTATTTTAAATAGGATCATATTGCAAACAGCACACCATTTGAAATATCTTCTGTCGTTCGATAGTTTTGTATAATTTGAAGCCAGTCAATTTATTTTTTAATTTTTCACATTCTTGATATAAATCATTTGGATTTTTACGGAATTTTTCATAAATGGCAATATATGACACTCACTATATTCCAATAGACAAAGAAGAGTTATTATTTCACTGGGAGTCAACTAAGATCATTTTTAAAATTCGACAAGGGCCATTTTGAAACAGAGCGTTAGAATCTGTGCGCATCGGACACAAGAGATGAAAAGTAAGGAAAATGATTTTAATTAAATAAATATTATTTACAAAAGATAATTTTATTTTATACCTATTATGGTGAGAATACAACGAATGGGTAGCCCTATTGTTTTCAAATCTAACCATATATTATCTCTCCATCGCATCCGTGGATGTCCTAAGGGCCTTCTCCCTGTCGGGACTTCTTCCCAGATTAACTTGGTAAGGCGGTTATTAGGGAGCCTATGAACATGGCCAGCCCATCTTAGACGTTGGGATTTAATCTCTTGGACTACGTCGCTAGCACTATACATTTGTTTGACCTCGGCTTTGTGGTTGTTTAGTAGTTATTCTGACTTCATAGTTTAATTTTCATTGAAAATGGAAATTCAAAAATTAAGCCAAGGGAGTATCTTGGACATGATAGTCGTCACAGAGATTATGGTAATCGTAAACATATTCAAAGAAGAATACATAAAATGTTGCCATCCTGAGAATACCTTTATACCATTGTGAGTTGAATCCAATTGAAAAGGTATAGTCAAGTCAAAAGATATATTGCCTCACACAACACAGTGTTTAAGACTGCCGCAATGGAACAATTAATAAGAAATGCATTTGGTGTAAAAACAGTGGACAACTGGAAAAACTATTGTAAACTTGCTATTAAAAAAGAGCAAACATTTTGGGTTATTGACAAGTTGATGAACCAAGACAAGGCAAATTTCAGTTCTTGTAGGGTTAACGGGGCGTTCATAAACGTAATATCATGTGGAGTTGAGGAGAGAAGGTGGTGAAAGATTGAGTATGTAAATTACTGGAAGTGGAAATCATATTACTTTTATTGAATTTGTCTTCAAAATAATTAGTGAGTGAGTAATCTTTAGGTTAGTTTTATTGCCTTGGATTTGCGAAATTGTTTCCATAGTTGAGTGGGGTTTGCATTGTGTGTTAGGGAGAGAGTTCCACCAGGGTACCATTTTGTAAGTAGAAGAGATGGTTTCTTTACCTATATGTGATTCGGAAGCAGTAAGTAACCATTCGTTAAATAAATTTAAAGTAGTGTTAATATCCAACGTAATAGCCAAGAAAGATAATTATATTTCGGTTTATTTAAATTTTAACCAACCAGCGTTTTTAAAGTTCCAGAAACTTCTAGTAGTGGTTTTCTTATTGGAGGAGCTGGATATGATGATAGGAAAGTGGTTGCTATCATGTAGGCCATCAAAAAATTTTCCAGGAGAGAGAAGGTACAATTTTGGTGTCACAAAGGTTAAGATTAATGGCTGAAAATGATCCGGAAGATATATTAAAATGGATATTAAGTCCAGTATTTAACAGAAAGGTGTCTGAACAATTTAAGACGTTTTCAATAACTTTGCTTTTACCCAAATTACGAAATGAGCCCCAAATTCTGGTCCCCAAATTAAAGTCAAAAAGAATATACGGGAGGAGAAGTTGTCATATTATGTCGACTATCTCTTCTTCATTGAGGGTATGGTCAGGAGGGATATATATATATATATATAATATATATATATATATATATATATATAAATATTATAATATATATATACTGCAAATGGTAAATTTGTTAGGACACCAAGCAGTAACCGCTACTACTTTTAAAGTTGTAGTTAACAGTAGAAGAGAGAAGTGTACATCACTAGAAACAAAAATTGAGCTACCACCACTGGCCTTTGTACAGTTTGTGCAAATATGATGATATCCTTCAAAGTTTTTAACTTTGCCTTGATGGTCGATTTTAAAATTTGTTTCCTGAAGACAAAAGATGTCGAGATTGTGAGAGGAAATAATCTTTTGAATTCTTTCTAGGCGAAGATAAAATCCATCGCAATTCCATTGTATCAGACTGAATGTTATTAATTTTAAAAATGATATAGGAGAAAGGAGAGAAAAACTATTGAGAAGAAACGAGAAGTCACTTGTGTTACCATCGTTAGTGAGCAGTTGTTCTGTGAAATCTTTTTGATAGGGATAAAGCTTTAGCTTAAGTTTATTCAACAGACGTTTTATACGATTTTTTAAGGATCTTTCTTTTATCTTGGTATAGATTAGGGCAAGATCTTTCATTAACGAATGTACGTCAGTGGTAAATTTACTGGCTTCAGTTAGAGGGTCGTTAATGCCAAAGGAATTTTCGAGGAATGCAGTAAGTTGAGTTATATTGAGTGAACTTCGCAAGGTTTATTATTAATGAAGAGAGATTCTTGATTAATAGTGTGATAGTCATAATCAGTTGATTTAGATTTTCTTGACTTCTTTTTGGCAGGTTTTTGTAGGTTAGTGGGAGATAACTCAGGCAGAGACATTGAATAAAGAATGGGAGTATTAGTAGGTGATACGAACTAAGGTGAGTCGCGTGCACTGTCAGTAGAACGTGGCGTTTTTGACCAATTTTTTGGTTAGTGAGCTCGGGACAAGAGCAAGATGTATGTGTTTCTACAAAAGATGAGTTAGGAATATTTGGAATGGTTAATGGAATTACTATTGGTTAAAATAACACTCGATGGTTGTTCCATATTTGACGAGTCAATTGAAATTGGAGGGAGGTCGTGGGAAGGGACACTATTTTTGATATTGGCACATGAGTCTGCAGTATGTCCAACCTGTTGGCAAAGAAAGCATTCTAGTTTATCAGTTGAAATCAATATTCTGTGAATTAAGTTTTCAAAAGAAATGGTAGAAAAACTTTTGCAGAGAAAAATCATCACTGTTGGGTAAAATATAAGTTACGCGGCGAAAAATCAAAACGTCAGCGTATTCATCATCAGGTGATCCACATTTAGCGTAAAAAACAGGGGAGGTAAGTGGTAATCCTAGATCCTGGAGTGCATTTTCATCTATAGGGCAAGGAATGGGTGCGTTGAAGAAGACAAGTAAATACAGATACAAACATGGGAGATTCTAGATGCGAAGTGTATGTTTTTAGGAGTAACATACTACCTATTGCTTTAATTTAATCAAACAGTACCGTATTGGACAGAGAAGGCATGCTAATTGCCTGGTCTCCAGAAAATACAGGGGGTGGCCGTAATTTTTAAGAGGTAGCAGCTGCATAATATCTAGGCTCATGAGTATTATTTGTACGTGAAATTGGGTTTGACATGCTGTTGTGATCCTGGTTACCAAAAACACAAGAAACTGGTTAAATTAAGAAAAGGTTAAATAAAAGTAAATATCAGCTCCGATCCCAGCCTGCAACTCAGTGACAGGCCTATTAAATTCTCAACCAAATAAGCAAATCAAAGTAATATTTACCTGGTTTGTACTTAACAGCCAATTTATCGTACTTTTTGATTTTAAAGAGTGTAAAAACTAGTATTAAATTGCTATTAACTTAACGACGTGTACTCGATGAAGACCAACACACGTGAATGTTGAGGAAGAAACTAATTCTACTAAATGGCTTAACTACTAGAGCTGTAAAGAAAGTAAATAGAAGTAAATGAGTAATTTAGAGAAGAAAAAATAATTCAAAACGGTGAAAGAATAATAAGTTTTTGCGATCATATAAATTTAAAAATAATAAATGAATACTATCAGCACAAGGAGAAGGATATCCGTACATAATTTGTATACCATACAATGCTTTCCAATGTTGTATTACTTGCCATATGATCCCATTTGCAATTCTCTTACAAAGTGATTTTTATATTTTGACAATTACTAAAATATCATAATTATAATAGTATCTTAGTTTAGTGACTGAATATTGGTTCAGAAAATAGTTGTTAATAGCGGACTTTAGACATACTCTATAATAGCTTACAAATGAATGGAATTTAAGTTTTGTTCTTCATTTTTAGAATGTCAGTACTGATGTCAATTCCACGACTAACCACCAAATACGTACTCGGACTAGGATAAACCGTGTAGTTTTAAGCATAAATACAATGTGTGGAGTCCAGAAAAAACAGAGAAGTGATGGAACGGATCGAAAAACATTGTTATATTGTTAAAATTAGTATTAGTTCGAAGGTGTGTGTAAGTTAGAAATAATTTTGCAAATGGTGCTTCGTTTTTATCTCTCTATGATTATTTTGATGATAATATTGAGGTTTGTTCAAAGTTGTGGTCTTCGTGGAGTGTGTGAATATTTAGTAAAAAAATGTTATAATTGAAAACACCTTAAAATATGCTGCCAAATTATGCAAAATTTCACTCCATATTGTTAGATGTACACTGTTTAAAAAAATTTTGATAGTACTTACTATAATCTCTTCATAGCCAAAAGAAAGAACAATTTGGACAATTCTTCTTATTTTAAGACAATGTCTTCTTTTTTTTTTCAAATTTATTACCCAAATTGGGATACCAATGTGCAACTTTCTTACCAATATTTGGTGGGTCTTCTTTTTTGTCTGGTGTTTTTTTTGCAATCTTTGCAAGTCTATTATCACCCATTTTATCTTCTTAGTCTCTCCATGTTCTTTTTTCGACTTCAAGTCACTTTATAATGATTTGAAAATTACACAGAGTCCTGGTATTGCTGCTCCTCACTCTATCTCTAGGTGTTGTTAGTTTCTTAATATTTCGAATAGTATTAAACTCTGCAACAGGTTTTTTAATATCTTTTATTTTATAAATGTATTAATAATACCAAGTACCATGAGATGGCGATATTGAATATCGTCTCTACATATTAGACAACCAACAATGTTCACATTAGTAGTCCAGATTGCCTAACAACATTATATAATAACTAAGTATTTTGCCAGTAATTAATTTTAGTGTCTTCATTTCTGTATTTAATAATTTCTTATGAATTTCTGTTGATAATTGCTTACGATTGTATGCACATTTACTCATTATCATCTTCAATTTACATGTTTTCTCATTTCCTGTAACTATCGAAGTGAATCTACCATTTTTTGAAACAGTGAACGTTTTCTTATGGCAAATATCGCTCAAAGGCTCAAATATAGTTTCTTTTAACACAAGCTTCATATTAGGAAATCACACGGTGTTATAACTTGCGAATAAGTTGGATGACCTAACACTGGAATGCTGTACTTAACTAAAATCTCCTTAAGAAAATAACTAAATTATTAATTAATCTTTCTAATCATTCAACTAATTTCGGTTCCTAATATAGTTATTGCAATGTAGCTCATACAGTTGAATTAAACAGATAAAATCGCAAAATAGTGCAAAATCGTTTATCTAATGCACACACCTTCCTATTTATGTGAATCTTTGTACAGGGTGGTACCTTAAGGAAAAATATATTTGGAATCTTAATTTTACTTTTAAAATTATACAAATGTTTGCAGTTGCTCACTAGATAAGACAGTAAAATTATTTATCATTAAAAATTTTAGATTTAGAATGGTGTTTATTTGCTTTATATTTGCTGTCATTTTATTATCATATTCGCCTTAATATATATTAATATATATTATAATTCGCAATAATCTTTCTATTTTTATTTACTATATAAAGTCATTTGAGTCGATATAGCATAGCAAGCTATGGAAATTTTAAAGAATGTAAAACTGGATAGAAGAATTACGTATTTGTAGAGATTAAAGTTAGGAATTCGGCAGAAAAACATGTATTTTAAACGAAATGAATTGCAATTAATTAATCTGAAGATATTGTTTTTTGCCTATCAATTTGGGCGACCCAGCCATTATTATGTATAATTTCAGTCAAAGCGCCAAAGTTGGTCTAAAATTAAGTGTTAAAAAGATAAAATTGGTGGTAGTTAACAATAATCTTAACCTTAATCATCTTTATGGTAAAATAGAGTAGATAACAATATTTTTGCAGTAGTAATATATGTTGGAAACTAGCTTTTTAGTACATTCGGACCAACGCGAGGATAAAAATACCTTTATAACGTTTTTTCTGAAGACCACTCAACAAATTTTCAAAGAATATGTTTTATTTTTGTTTAACAAACATTCTTCTTCTTCTTCTTGTAATGCCTATCCGTTTTGGATCTTGACAACCATCATGGCAATGGTCGAAAAAAAAGATAAGTTTTTCTAGCTCATAGATGATTTATTTCAGGTATATTTTTTATTTTTGAAAATTTTATTTCATCTACTTTTTTCAGTAAGCGCTCTAAATGTGTCAAGCTTCTCATCTGAGCTCTGCTTCTCACAAACTTGGTGAAAACCATACATAGTACCACAAATTCGTTGGAGAATTTTCTTCGCGTAACTTCTTCCTAAAAACCCCTGTTTCAATTTCCATTATCTAAAATAGCAGAATATCTCAAACCAAGATAGAAAAACGTAATGCACGTACAGCCAAAAATACTTCAATTAGGAAGTAGAGTAAACTACCAAAGATTTGTATACGCTAGAACAGAACCCAAACATATATGCCTGGGAAAAACGGGTAAGGGATTCTGAAAAGGTACAAAACAATGAATCTTTGGCTAAAGTATTGAAAAAATATGCCTTAATGTAATCACCTATAAGAAACCAATTGGATAAAACGTTTTTTTTATAAATGGTCTATTTTCACAATTTAAACTTTTGGAATGATTGGGATGATTTAATTATTTATTTATTGGTCCACCCTGTATAGACAATAAATAGTTTTATATATATTATTAGTTAGGAAGTTATTTAATAAAAATAACCTATATTTTGATATATAAAATTAATTTTATAAACTTAAATTCAAAAGCAGCTATTTTTACGAATCGGAAACTACAAGAATAATACGATAATTATGATACTGTGTGCTTTATTAAAAGAAAAGAAACGGTTCATTCACCCTGTAAGATTTCGCCAAAAAGATATTTTTCTTCTTACTGTGCTGTAAAACTCATTTGTAGATCACTTTTCATTCAATTACTGGGGTGAATATACCACAGACATACATAAAAGAGCCAAGACAATTAACAAAAGATCCACGCACAGGTGGCAAGCCAGTGACAGGCCGTTTTGCCCCACGTTGGGCGCCAAAAATGTCATTGCTTTGGTTATACTTGTAAAAAAAAATTGATAAGTATTTTTATAACTCTTTTATTATCATCATCATATTCATATTCATCATCAGCATCATAAGCTCGACAATCCTTTGTGGATCGACAGTCTTTGTGTAACTCTTCCGTCTGTTTGGAACAAGATCTTTTCAGATCTTGTTCCATATATCTAAGTTTGGGTCTTCCTTTGGACCTTCTCTCTACTATTCTACTACTGGCACCTGCCTTAATATTTTCTTAGGTATATCATTTTCCTGCATCCAGCGCAAACCTTCAATCTATATAATAACTTCTTTATCCAGTCTTTTAACATAGCGCTTTCTTTGCCTTTATAGTTCGCTACGAACATCTTATCGGGAGTGTTTTGAATTTAATTCTATTCCCTTGTTATTTACAACTGTTTCCTCCCAGGTCCAAAGAATGTATAGAAAACGTAAAGTAAAAATAGCTGTTTTCACCAGTTTAGTTTTTTGGTATTTATATGAACAATCTGTGCAAATTTTGTAAACAAAGAAGGCTGTGTATTTTTGACATGATCAAAATACCAACATATATTTGATATTCGTAGTAAGTAAGCATGAATTATTTATTTTTTTGTATAATTATAGGCTAGTGAGAGACGTTACAAAGACCAAGGCGTTAAAAAATCGATTAAGTTAGGTAATTGTATTTTTTAAGCAATAAGGTGATGTCCTTGGAAAAGATAGTACAGTTTAAAGCAATATCTTACCTGACTATATTTCGGTGCTGAGTAGATAATTTAGATTTAGGTGTAGTTACGAATTGTTTTATACTTCAAGATTGTACATACACAGTGGTAACAATAAATTGTATCAAAATATATATTTTTGTGTATTAGTTTGTATCCTATGCTCTTCAATCTCTATGTGGAGACCATTTTTGCAGAGGCACTGGAAGGCTCTGAGTGTAGAATAAAGGTAAACGGGTTTCCGTTACGCCGACGACACCGCGATAATAACAGACAACGAACATGACATGCAGTTGATGTTAAATAAAATAAACACAGTAGCTCCAATCGATCAAGTGAAAACATTTAAATACTTGGGAATGATGATAAATAACCAATGGGATCCTCAACAAGAAATAAAATGCCGTACCGAATAAGCAAGACAAGCTTTTATCAAATTTAAACCGGTACTATGTAACTGCAATCTTTCCTTTAATCTCCGCTACAGGATGGTTAAATGCTATCTATGGTTCATATTGTTATACCGCATGGAAACATGGACGTTAAGAGTACCTTCCATTAATAAGTTGGAGGCTTTCGAAATGTGGACGTTGCGAAGAATGTTCCGCATACCATGGACAGATATGATGAGAAACAAGGAAGTCTTAAGAAAGGCAAATACTGAGAGAGAACTACTCAATTTGATCAAGGTACGAAGAATTGGATACCTTAGCCATATTCTGAGAGGAAAAAAATACGCAATCCCTCAATTAATCATCCAGGGAAAGATTGAAGGCAAGAGAGCGTAGGTCGCAAACAAATGTCGTGGCTACGAAACATAACGAACTGGACAGGCATAAATAACACTGGCGATCTTTTTCATGCCTCAAAAGACAGACGTCTGGCCTTAAGATAATTCGCCAACGCACTATACGTGCACGGCACTATAAGAAAAAGAAGATTAGTTTGACTTTTTTTCAAAATGAGAAGGATATTCTCGTAGTTTGCTTTCAGATTATGGTATTGTAACCTCCAATTGTCGATAGACTGATTAATAAGTAGCTGGAACTGAGAATGACAGAAAGCATCTGCGAGTGGCAGTCACTTTTTGCAGCGAGATTGGTATAACAGATGAAAGGCATGTTTTACAAACGTAAAAAACTAGACCAAGAAGAATGTGGATTCGATCATAAATTGTTATAAGAACAATGCCGCACCAAAATCAAAACAGGTTGGAGATTTCAAATCCGAAAATATTTAGAGATGCATTAAAGGAAACTAGTAGGTTGAACACACAAGACAACCCAGAAGAAATGTGGAAAAGTTTCAGAAATGCCATAGAAACCTCTGTAGAAAGAACCAAAACCGAAAAAAAGATCATCAAAAGAAAACACTGGATGACAGACAGAACGCTACAACTTCTCGAAGAGCGAAGGAAAATCAAATATCTCATATATCAAAACGACAGCAACTAAAACGAATTAGCCAGGTTAAATAGAGAAATTAAAAGAGCATGTAGGGATGATAAAAATAAACATATAAATGAAGAATGTCAAGAACTAGAGAGACATGCAAACCGGTATGAATCCCATGAGTTTTATATGTCCGATATCTATCCAGGGAATTTAAACCAATCACACATAAAATCAACATATTATAATTAATGAGAAAGGGATTGCGGAGGTATGGAGAAAATATCGTCAACGTCAATATGCAGATGATCCCCAGAATGCAAATCACGATGAGTTCACTGCAGAGAGAGAACCACACATTCTAAAGTCAGAGGTAGAAAAAGCAATCAAAAAGTTAAAAAATAGAAAATCTCCTGGTGCAGACCAGATCACCGCAGAAGTTTTAAAAGAGACTGGAGATATTGGAGTAAATGGTATGCATATGACCAGAAAAAAAAATTTGGGAAACCGGAGAGTGGCCCAACGACTGGACAACATCCACTTTCATCCCTATATTCAAAAAAGGAAACTATGCTAGATTGTAGCAACTACAGAACGGTAACCCTAATATACCATGCAACCAAGGTTCTACTTCATGTAATACATGAAAGACTAAAAGCTTTTCTATTGCCTCATATATCAGAAGAACAAGCGGGATTTGTCACAGGAAAAGGCACAAGAGAACACATCCTTAATTTCAGACAGCTAATCGAAAAAACTCGTGAAATCAATACTCCTGTGGATTACATAAAGGCCTTCGATAAAGTCAAATGTCAGCAGCTACGATCCATACTAGCGGAAATGGGAACACCCCACAGCTTAAGTCAACTAATTAAAAGTCTATATGAAAATAATAAGTGCACAGTAAAAATAAACAACACTCTTACCGATCATTTCAGAACAGAGGCAGGTGTCAGGCGGGGATGCATAATCTGGCCAACTCTGTTTAATTTCTACAGCGAACATATTATGCGAAAGGTACTAGGCTAATGGAAGGGCGGAATGTCAGTAGGAAGTCAAAAAATCAATAACTTGAGATATGCTAATTACTATTTAACTGGGAATAAGCCACAATTAAAGATAAAAATACGTTTATTGACGTTTTAATTTCCACTTCGGAAATCGTTCTCAAAATACAAACAGTAATAAGATCTTTGAAAGAAACTGAATTCGAAAGAAAGTAAGATAATATCTAAGGTGAGGTAGCGGATAACATCTTCCGAACATCTCCCGAACATCATGACTGAAGTGGAGCAACAACAAACAGCGCCAGAACAACCTATGGCAGTCCCAAAACAGAAGGAAGTACTTGCAACTAAGGTAACTGGCACAGTAAAATGGTTTAACGTCAAAAGCGGTTATGGATTTAACAACAGAAATGATACCAAAGAAGACGTTTTTGTGCATCAATCAGCCATAATAAAGAATAACCCGAAGAAAGCCGTCCGATCAGTGAGCGACGGTGAAGTCGTAGAATTTAGCGTAGTCGTAGGTGAAAAGGGTAACGAGTAACGAGACCAATGTAACCGGCCCTAACGGTGACCCAGTAAGAGGTTCGCCTTATGCCGCCGACCGAAGACGAGGATACCAATAGTGGTATTACCCGAGAGGAAGAGAAAGCCAAAGTGAAGGCAAATTAAAGGATGGAGTAGAATCAGGCGGTGAAGGCGGCCAAGGTGGCCAAGGACCCCCACGTCGGTATGCTCCAAGACGAGGACGTGGAGGATATTCATATTACAGGGGACCCTATCGCGGACCGCCAGGAGAATTAGAACCAAAATGGAGATGCTCCATGTGGTCGTCGACCCCCACGTGGCTTTTTCCGTCGTAATTACCGTGGAGGTCGCGGCGGCGCAAGACCACGTTCCCAGGACAGCCAGGGCCAGGCTGGAGAGCTAAACGGTCAAGAAGGTGGACCACGTGGGACCTCGTGGACCACGCTACCGCAGACGTGGCCCAGCCCGTCCAAGAGCCGGTAACTCTCAGTCGGAGTCTGCAGGAGGGAACCAACCAAAAACCAGGTTCCCGAAAAAGCTGTATCTGATAAGACCGAAGAACGTCAACCAGTGCAGAACATAACTACAGAGAGCAGTGCTTAAGCGTAATCGCGCTCAAGCCCATCACTCTAAAATCATAAATATTTAACAACGTTAGCGCGTGAGTTTGTAAAATTAAAAGCACACAAAAGGCATTTCATGCCGAATGCTTGTACCACTAATAATTTTTGTCAATTCATTTTTAAAAAAAAAAAACTACCTGCAAAAAGAATTTGCTTTGGTTTGGCGCCACAATTTTCAACTGGGGTTTCGAAAACATTTTTGATAAAAAAAAATACTGTTTGAATATCCTGGAGTGATCATCGCACTAACGTATCGATATTAGAACAACTTAAAGTAAAGGATATATTGCTTAAACAAATATAACAGAGATATTTGCAGTGTTTTGGACACATACAAGTTGTATCGACAGGCCTGAAGATGCTTTGCATATTGTAGGAAGCGAAACCGGTCGTCTAGATAGTTAAATTAAACTGATTGTTAGTAAGTCTTATTTATTATTTCTTTTACCTATTAGAATTTAACATTCAAACTCATCACAATGACAATATCTAACTTAAAAACATGTGTTAGAATATGACAAGGGGAGACCCTGGCTTGCCTCGTATTTAATGTTGCCTTGGAAAAGGCAGTCCGATATACACTAATTAGAGGAGGTGGTATTATTTATAATATATCGATACAAATCTTAGCTTACGCTGATGCTTAGCGTAACAAGCCAGGTGTTCAGCAATATTTCCTAGCATTGGAAATGGCTGCCAAACCGGTCGGTCTAGATGAGTCGTCAACGAAGACCAAACCAAGTATAATTACTAATTATATTATACATGTTGGTTATTAAGGATCCTATAGCAAATGAAGAACGGGAAACAGTCTTCGGAAATCATATCTTTGAACGAAATGAAACTTTACATATCTTGACTCGCTGGTGATTACTGCCAACAAAACAAGTGAAGAAATTAAAAGACAAAAAAACCTTACAATTAGGACATGCTATGGACTCCAAACCCTAACGCAGAAGGATGAAAGTATTTAGGAATATTTGAGCGTAAAATACTCCGTAAAATATGTTGAGCTATAAACGACCAAAGGCAGTGGCGCAAGAGATATAACTTCGAATTACACTTTCTTTTGAATGAACTTTTAATGAACCAGACGTCGTAACGTTCATTAAAACACAGCGACTTAGATAAGCTGGACACATAATACGAATGCCTGACAACACAATTGCTAAAAAGCTAACGACAGGAACACCTGTAGGAAGAAGAAGCAGTAGCCGACCGGGAGTTAAGACCGACTTAAAAATAATTAAAATTCAGAAGATGGCAACGGGTCGCCCAGAACCGAACAGAATGGCGACGAATTTTAGGACAGGCCAGGATCCACAAAGGATTGTCGAGCCAAAGATGATGATGAGTCTTTAAGCTCATTTTGCTACTGTCGCAATTTTATCTTGTTGTTTTGCTCTTCTTCTTATTATGGTGCCCTATCCAATTAGTGGATGTTGGCGACAATTCTGGTATACTCCTCTCGATCTTGTGTGACTCTAACTAAAGAGTGCATGGCATCGAGGTTTGTGCAATCCCTTATGTTTTTAAGCCTTGAGTATTTCTTTCTTCCGCGGTTCCGTTTTCCTTCTATCTTCCCTTCTAGAATAAGCTTTAAGAACTGGTACTTGGAATTTCGAAATTTATGACCAGATAAGCGGTTTTTCTTCTTTTTATTATTGGCAGCAATCCTCGTTCTCTGCCCACTCGATTTAATACTTCGACATTTGTTGTGTGATCTGTCCAGGGAATTTTAAGTAGTCTTAGCAAGGTTTTCATATTAGTTAATGCTGTTCTGGCTTGCTCAATCCTGCTACGCATCTCTATATCTGGATCTAGATCTTCAGTTATCCAACTACCGAGATATCTGAACTTAGGGGACCTTTTGGATGTTCTTATTGTTTACTCTTATATTTAAGTGCATATTTCGTGTTCTACTAACCACCATTACCTTCGTCTTGTCTATATTAACCTTCAAGCCCAGTCGTTCCCCTTCAATGTTTATTCTATCTATTAGTCGTTGTAGCGCTTCTTGGCTATCAGCTATGATGACTGTATCATCAGTATAGAGAAGATTACTAATGGTCTGTCCGTTGATTTTGATTCCATCTTTATCACTTTTTTGTCACTTAAGGCCCTATCGAAAATCGTTTCAGGGTAAAGATTAAAAAGGAGAGGTGACAGAACACAACCCTGTCGTACACCTTTTTCGATTGAGAAATATGATGTAGATTCCAGTCGTACTCTCACAGATGCCACTTGATTAATATAAAGGCTCATTATGATTTTAGTCATTTTCATCTATCGAACGTTTGCTCTTACTAATTCTGAATTATTAACACAGTCGAACGCTTTCTGGTAATCTATAAAGCATAGGAAGACATCTTTTTGCTGATCTCTGCATTTCTCAAGTAGGACAGTTAAGCTATACAGTACTTCTCTTGTGCCAAATCCTTGTCTGAAATCGAACTGTGTGGGGCTAATGTCTTTTTCACATCTGTTCTTGTGTGAGTTATCTTTAAGAAGAGTTTTAGGACCTGGCTCAATAAGCTGATTATTCGGAATTGGTCGTAACCATTAGTGTTTGGCTTCTTGAGATTGGTATAAAGGTTGATTGAAGCAAGTCCTATGCTATTTGACCGGACCCACAAATGTCATTAAAAAGATCTACCAAGGCGTATATATTGTCTTCAGTCAACATTGTTAGAACCTTTATGTATATGTCGTTTGGGCCTGGTGCTTTTCTTCATTTGCTCTGTTTGATTGCCCTTACAACTTCTGACTTCAATATTTTGGGGAAGGGTTCACTTTTACATTCACTTTCAGAGTTTCTTCTAGTGTTGTCTGAATATAGTTGCTGTGTGTAGTTTCTCCAATGTTGAAGTAGATTCTTGGGATCAGTAATTAATTTATTGTCCTTCGCAATACTGTTAAAACTGCAAGGTTTTGTATGACCTGTCACTTCTTTAACGAGTTTATGTATGTTAAAGTGTTCATGTTTTTCTTCCGATTCCTCCATTTCTGCGCACCTGTTTAGCAGCCACTGTTCTTTAGCTTTGTAACACTCTTTTCGTATTTGTCGGTTAATCTGCTGATGTTTGGTTCGATCTTTGTTTTTAAATGATTTGCGGTTGTCCATCATTGATAATATTTCGTCAGTCATCCAATTCTTCTTTTCGTACTTTTGGGAAGCGATCAGAGACTTGGTGGTGGTTACGATAGCTTTTTTAATACAATTCCATTTGTCTTTTATACTGGCCGGTTGTTTAGATCTTGCCGTGATATCCGCTATTGCCTCATTTAATCTTTCTGTGACTTTTAGTTTAACGTTAGGTTGTTTTAAGCTGTTTATATCACTTTTCTTTATGGATTTTCTTTTAATTTTTTAAGCTTAATTTTCAATTTTCCTACTACGGGATTGTGATCAGATCCGATATCTGTTCCAGGGTATGTTTTTACTCCTTGCAATCGATTTCTGTATCTCTGATTAATCAATAAAAAATCAATTTGATTTCTTACGATGTTGTCATGCGTATATTGTGGAGACTGCCAGGTGTAGAGTCTCCGAGGTGGCAGTTTGTACCAAGTATTTGCAGTGACTAATTTTTCTTCTTGACAGAACTGAATTAGCATATCCTCTCTCGTTTCGATCTCCCAAATCAAAGTCACCCATGACATCTTCAACACGTCCTCGCTCTACCTTCGCATTGAAATCTCCAATGATTATAAGAGTCTGGTTCTTCTTGATCAGTTTCATTGACATCTTAAGTTTTGTTCTAAGATAGTGATTCATGGATGTTCTTTCCCTTCCTTTTCTTTAAGTGCCATTTTCGTTATCCTATCAGAGCCCCTCTAACTGTCTAAGCAACTGTTATAGAATTATTTTAAACTGCAACGATACCATTTTCTTAGATTCTTCAATCAATATATTCGTCTTGGTTGAAGAATCGTTGTATGCTCATGCTCATCTCCAGCTACCTCTTTGACTTTTTATGCAAATTAAATTTCTCATTATTGTTTCGCAAGTCTTCTATTTGCTTAAAATGTTCTGAACGCTTCCTTTGCACCTCTTATTTTTCTTCGTATTATTCTTCGTATTTAACATCGGATCTTGTTGTCGTTAAATATCTCTTGAATTATAAAAGTTTTATATAGTATGCTACTTTATTCTGTTCTTCCTATGAAAATTTCCAATTACGTAATTATTTTCTTCCTACCTACTGTCCTCACTGCCCTTCCAAATGTCTGTCGAAAATATACCATTAACTGATTTATGGTCCACTTCTTTAAACAAACCTAATTAATTACAAAATTTAAAAGAAAATGCACTACACCTCCTAAAAACATATTGCTCCCCTGAGTTTGTATCCTAATATATCACAAAATTCAATTATTAAGGTCCAAATAA